CTCAGGACACGACTGCCTCTAGTCTGAACTCTGGCCACACAGCACAGGGGACTCACCATTCACCAGGGCGATGTTCAACCCGCGGCCCACGTTGTCCTTGACGCTGCTCATGAGCCTGGCAGGGGGAGAGATTTCACTCTCATGGGCACACCTGCCCTGCTCTCCTGTGCACAGCCCCCGGCCCTCATCCCATCCTCTTCCTGGAACCCTGTTCATTCCGAGGAACTCACATCTTGTCCTCAAGGCAGATCTTTGGCCCAATGACGTTGGCAGCTCCGCTGACCATGCGGAAAGCCAGGTGCTCCTCAGGACACGGCTGGGGCAGGCCACACTTGTACTTCCTGGTCCGAGGTTCTGGGCAGGAACAGCAGGTGTGACCTGTGGGCCTGGCTGTGTAGTCACCCAAAATTTCGGGGCAGGAGGCAAGGTCAAGACTGGCCCACAGGTCGAATGAATGATCACAGAGCTAGGGACCAGGTCAAGGCTAGGGGGCTTTTCTTTTACTGGTAGGAGAAGAGAAAGCAGGTGGGAGGAAAAGGCAAGGGAGAGTATGGAGTTCAGCTGGCCTCCCCATTTCCACAGGGGGTGTGGGACAGGAGAAGGACCTCTGTGAACACCTGAATTTTGTCCCCACAAAAGACACTGAAGTCCTAACTCTCAGCACCTTGGAATGTGACTATGTTTGCATACACACAGGGGAATCAGTTAAGATGAGGCTGTTCTGCACCACGGCTGGGGTCCTTATGGGAAGAGGTGGTGGCTGAGTGCATGGGAAGGTTCCTGGTTTGTGTATGGAGACCTCCTCATATGCATGTCCGTGATCTGGGGTGGCTGAATATGCGGGTGGATGCATCATCAAGCCCCTGTTGGGAGTGCTCTCTGGCCCTCTCACTCATGGAAGACAAATAAACAAAAATGGGAAGAAGTGAAGATACACAGAGGGAAGATGGCCATGTGACAATGGAAGCAGAGATTGGAGTGACACAACCACAAACCAAGGTATACCAGGGGCTACCAGAAGCTGGGAAAGGAAAGGCATGATCCTTCCCTAGAGCTTTTAGAGGGAACCCGGCCTTGCTGACATTTTGATTCGGGACTTCTGGCCTCTAGGACTGTGACAGAATGAATGTCTATTTAAGCCACTCAGTTTGTTAGAGAAGCCGTAGGAAATTGACAGAGGTTTTGGTACCATGAATGGAGTGCTAATGTAACAACAGTTAAATCTAAAAAAAGGGAAATGGGACCAGCAGATGATGTAATGGTTATGTCACTGGACTCCCACATAGTTGACCATGCCTGAACTCACTGGCTTGAAACTCATGCCAGGTGCATGTGTGTGCATGCCCAAAATCCTGAGAGGAGACTGGAGGAGAAGGGATTGTGGCATGGCCATCCCCACTGGGGGGATGATTTCTTGCTTTCTGTCTGTCTCTGAGTTGAGCACATGTGCCCTATAGCAAAAATCTGTCTCTCTTTTTTAAAAACATTGGGGAACAGCAGTTGGCGTAATGGCTATGTCGCTGCACTCCCATGTAGTCAACCACAGTTCATATCCCAGACCTGGTGGCTTAAAACTCACACTGGGTACGTGTACGTGCGTGCCCAAGATCCTGAGAGGAGAATGGAGAAGAAGGGATTGTAGCGTGGCCATCCCCCCTGGGGGGCGATTTCTCACTTTCTATCTCTCTGTCTGTCTGTCTGGCGAGCGCATGTGCCCTATAGCAAAAACCTCACCAAAAAAATTATTTATTTATTCATTCATTTTCTTTTAATTTGATAGAGAGAGAGAGAGAAAGCCACTAGCCACTAGCCACCAGGTCTAGGTCTAGGACTCAAACCATGGTTGGCCATGTGGGAGTGTCCAGCACCTTAACCACCATGCCACCAGCAAAAATCTCTCTTAAAAAAAAAAAGGGACCAGCAGTTAGCGTAATGGCTATGTTGCTGGACTCCCATGTAGTTGACCATGGTTTGAGTC